ACTCAGGAACTTGTGCTCATTGCTGGGGACTTCAATGCCCATCATCCAACGATCAATTCGACCACAACAATGAACCAGGATGGTCATCACCTAAGGGAACTGCTGACAGATGTTCCAGAAATAACGCTCATTAATACTGGGGAACCAACTCACATACTGGGAGGAACATTGGACCTCACATTCATCTCCACTGAGCTCGTTCCAGTAGCTCAGTGGGAAGTAGATGATGAGCTGACCAGTGACCACTTTGCAACGACAACTACTTTGAGGATGGAGCTACTCCCTCCTCCCCCACGTCCGCCACCCAGATGGAATACCAAGAAAGCAAATTGAAAATTATATCAAGATGAACTCCAAAAATGGTATTCTATCTATGAATCAGCAGAAGATATTGACCAACTAAACCAGGACCTTACTGGTGCCATACAACACGCAGCAGAGGAAGCAATACCAAAAACAAACCCTACAAATAGACACCACAAAGACTACTGGTTCTACAATGACGAAGTCAGAGAACAGAATCACAGAATCAACACATTCAGAAGACATCTCCGACAATACCCTTCCCCTGAGGGAGTGAAACTCTTGAGAGCTGCTGTCCAACATGCTCGTCAAATTACTCAGAAAATTAGGGAAAACAAATGGCTCGAGTGGTGTGCAGCCTTTAATGCACACACCAGCCTGAGAGAACTCTGGAGAAAACTCAGGGTAGCAACAGGAAAACTGCCCAGAGTTTCAGCCCACCCCCAGCCACTACAGGAAGCAAATCGCTTGGCAGAGCACTTTGCATTACGCTCGTCATCAGCTCAACTACCTCCTGAAATAAGACTTCATCTACAGCAAGTACAACTGGTGAGAGAAGTAGTAGTCAGACATGCAATTAAACAAACTGACACTACAGACTGTCTGTTTACTACAGAAGAAATCAGAAGGGCCAGGAAAACAAGCAAAGACACCGCCCATGGCAGTGATGATATAACCTATTCACTGCTCAGCAATGCAGGACTTGCTGGTGAACTTGCTCATCGTCAACAGGCAAAATCCCGCCAGCTTGGAAAAGAGCAAACATTGTTCCTATTCCCAAACCCAATGATCCCCAGAATTTCATACCAATATCACTAACAGCATGCATCGGCAAAACCGCCGATAGGGTGATCCTTACACGACTCCTCTGGAAAACTGGACCACTTCACCACAATATCTTTGGATTCACCAAAGGTGTCAGCACTGCACACAGTTTGGCCACTCTCCTGGGATCGATTGGTCAAAATAAGACAATCGTAGTTCCTTGATCTAGAGAAAGCATTTGAGCTGGCAAATGCACAGGCCATTGTAACCACTCTGGCCCGGAAAGGCATCAAGGGATGCCTGCTGGCTTGGATTGTTGACTATCTCCAAAACAGAGTTACCTGTCAAGGACAAGTCTCAGGTCAGCAAAGACTGGAAAATGGCACACCACAAGGAGGAGTTCTTAGTCCAACTCTCTTCAACATCCTCATGGAAAACTTGTGTCGGCTCCCCTTTCAAGAGGGTACCAAACTGCTATGCTATGCTGATGACTTAGCACTGATAGTAAAAGGCAGAAATCAGATCAGCAAAGTCCAAAGAGCACTAGACCTCACCAGTGAAGAATGTATGAGGCTCGGGCTCAAGATATCAATCCCAAACTCGAAAGCCATGAGGATTGGACACAATGAGCCGGTGACACAACTTCAAATACAAGGTATTGCCCTACAATGGGTCAATGTATACACATACCTGGGCATCTGGATTGACAAAGGCCTCAAATTTGACAATGAGATAAACTATCTAAGAGACCGAATGGGTAAGAGAGTCAACATGATGAGAGCCATGACAGGACCCAAGGTGGGTGCGGGACGTGTACTGTAGTCCTAAGAACGCTATATATACACGCCAATCGATCATTAACAGACTATGAGACACCGGCTCTTAACACACTGTCTGGGTGGCAGTGGGAGAATTGGAGGTTGCCCAGAATAACGCTATGAGAGTCATTGTAGGTAGTAGGCAGCTATCAAACAGGGAGGTACTACCGCCTGGGAAGATATTGGAAGCATAATGTGTTGTCTAATGGTAGACCCTGCTGCCATATGGCATCACAAAAATTGTGACCAAGTCCCAGGTTGCTGATCTGACTTTCTGCCTCATTTGCACACAGTTGCAGGGTCTCAATTGTTTCTCTTACTTTGACCACACAACATACAGTATATGTATTGTTTCGCACTATTGATCTTTTTTTTGTTATTATTATTATTATTATTATTACATTGTAGTTTTATTCTATATATATATATATATATATATATATATATATATATATATATATATATATATATATATATATATATATATATATATATATATATATATATATATATATACAGTATATATATATATATATATATTACAATTTATATGTTTTTAAATTAATATTATTATTATTATTATAATAATAATATTTTCACCCCCAGGCCCTGATGTGGGTCATTGACCTGTGCCCTGGTGGGCTAATCCCATAAAAAAAACCTATGTGAACAAAAATTGAAAACTTACACATGGAGACAGGTCTCACATCTCTCCAAACCAAGACGGAACGATTAACAGCGTGCTTTGCAAAAAAACTGATTACCAGGGCTCGGGAAAGTGACATCAAGAATGGACTCTTACGAGCACTGAACCTTAAGAGATGTCTTTAACAAGAAAACATGGCTATTGTACGCAGCTGACGCTGTAAATCGACTGGAATTGAAAGACACAATCCTCAGCAAAGGACCTGATACAATGAGTCCAGACTACAGTACCCCAGCACCGTGGGAGTCCCCGCCAGCAGTCATCAACATTCTACAAACTGGGACAAGAAAGGCTGACTGTAACCTGCATGAGCTCCGACAGGTAGCAGAGAGAAACATGAAGGCTCTAACACCACACAATAGTACAGTGTATTACACAGACGGTTCCGTAGAGCCCACCAGTACGAAGGCAGGAGCAGCCTTCACGATAGAAGGAGGTAACACGTCCCTTTGGAGAACCTCAGATGGATGCTCTACTTTGCAAGTTGAGCTACCTGCCATACTTGGAGCCCTAAGACACGCTTCCATAAACAGTCAACAAGGCGTTGTAATACACACTGACTCACGTTGTGCTATTGAAGCACTACACTGCAGAGAACATAGAGACAACATTCATCTCAAGACATCCGTTGTTGGCCTACTGCAAGGGTTAAAACTACAAGATCGGCAAGTTATCATTAACTGGGTGCCCAGCAGCTGATGCTGCTGCCAAGGCTGCGTTAGGACAGCAAAACATTGAGATGAACATCCCGCCCAGTCAGGAGCAAATAAAGAAGACCACAATAACACGAACTGCCCAGTGGAAGATAGACAAACATAGAAGATTAACACTAGTATCACGATCGGCCAGGTGGTACTATCTGGTCACGAATTATGAGAGACCACCACTCATGAAGGACATAACAAGAAGGGAAGAAGTCATCTTCCACCGACTGAGACTTGGATACCCATGCATATGGGAAATCATTGTACAAGTACCAGCAGAGCAGCGCATGTGCAAGACCTGCGACAGCGGAGCAGAAAACTCACTGCAGCACTACCTCATAGAGTGCCCTGGAACACAATTAGCTAGGAAAAACATACAACCCCCTATCACAGCAGAGAAGGTTGCCAAAATGCTAACCACCAACCACTCTCAAGAAACCTTCCAGTTTCTTACCGAGCATCCACCCCCACGCTAGTGGTGGAGATGTACAGTTAACCAAAAAGATGCTGGTGTTTTATCCCAGCAGTGGGTGGACCAGCATTTTAGCTTAAGGTCCGAGTAGGTAGTATTCCTATAAATCTTAAAAAAAAACAAAAAATAAATAAAAAATAAATAAAAAATAATAATACCCTACCACCCCTCCCTAGCAAAACCTAACTCACCCAATCTCTGTTATAAAAAAAAACACTAACCTCACCACCAAATTACTTGTCTATAGGGCAGGTTAAGTGTCACAAACATGGAAACAATTAAAACAAAATAATATCATAAGTAATCATAAGCAGAGTAAGATAACTTGTAGAATCATAGGCGTGAAAAGACATTTGCAGAGAACATGTAAATTTACATTTTCAACTGAACCTGCTCCGGTCCATGGGGGAAGGGAGGACTCAGCCATTGTCTTCTTGAGTACTCTTAAATCATCGTGTTATTAATGTTTAGTTAAAACAGCCGCCACAGCAACAGTGGTAGCAGCAAAAATTAATAATATAAAAAGCACTAGTCAAGAAAACCCGGCTGGATATTAACGCCAAACATTAAATTTCAGTTAACTTAATTCGAAGCGCACATGTTTTTTTTATTGAATTATGAATTTAACTTACATCTGTAATAGAACTACAAACATTTATAAAAAATACACATTAAAATAATTATTATATATCCAATCCACGGCATAAGCGTGCGGTCTACAAGAGATTTAGGTTAAGTTAGCTTTGGTTAGGTCAGGTTAGGTTAGGTTAGGTCAGGTTAGGTTAAATTAGGTCAGGCTAGGTAAGGTAAGGTCAGATTAAGTTAGGTTAGGTCAGATTAGGATAGGTTAGGTCAGATTAGGAAAGGTTAGGTTAAGTCAGGTTAGGTTAGACTAAAGATATCTATGAACAGCACACGCTAATAGTAGCACCAATATTAGTACTATTCACTTCGTACTTACAAATTTTATCAGTTCAATGAATAGGAGATAATCAGGAAAGGTGGGCAAGGTCCATTTGGTTAGTCCTAAATGTAAAATCTCACTTATATATAACAAATAAAGTGCAAACATAATATAGGAATTAAAAATGATGATTTACCTTATAATGTAAAAAAAATATCCATCAGGATTTGTATATATAATGTCATTATTATGAAAAGAGTTATTTGCGTTACATTGAAGATTACTATTACTGTACATTCAAGGGTGTTTGCCAAATGCAAACACTTACCGTAGCCATCGTATAAAGTTGACCGGTTACTAGACTAGGCCGACACGACGTTCTCACAGCTGTTGCTTCTACTCAAGCCGCACACCAACTGAGGGAGGGTGCGTGAAGTGGTCATTTGGAAAACCCGTGTCGCTGGGCCACAGAGAGGGATGGGGGAGGGGGCAGATTTTTAATGAGCAAGGGAGGCAGAACATGGATGCTTGGACAGTATATAGAATCCTCAAAGCAGAAAAGCGCATCGTGTTTGCCTCTTCACATATATATTTAATTGAATATTTACACATCTTACCATCAGAAACATTTCTCCAAGCTATAGAGATAGCATCAAGAATGTTTACCCCGTTATATTACCGGCCAGCGATAAAAGTATATTCAGTGCCGGATTTAGACCTGTGGAGGCCCATGGGCAGCCTCTTTGTGGAGGCCCCCTCATTATAACTACCCAAGAGGGTGGGGTGGCGAGTGAAGCGAGTGGAATTCTAAATATATTATTAGCAACACAAACAATAGCATTCATTAAAAATATGCGGTTCATAGGAAAACCAGGTATTCATGAATTTCAAGGAGTAGCTAGCCTAATTTCTATCACGCTTCGTGCTTAACACAGTTTTACGTGATGGAATAGATAAACATGATTTTTAAAGAATGAAAATAAAGATAATCCAAATGAATAAACAAATAAATAAAATATGGTAATATGTGGAGGCCCCCAGATTGTGGAGGCCCCTGGGCAGCTGCCCACTTTGCCCACTCCTGAATCCGGCCCTGCGTATATTGCCGGCCAGCGATACACGTACTGTACTGCATATTGCCGGCCAGCGATACACGCCATTTCATATTCACTTCGGTAAATGTTTCCTCCAACTGTAGAAGTGGCACAAGAATCCTGTTAAATACCTGTAAGGTAAATGGGTAAAGTAAAACCTTTCTAATGCTAAAGATCCATATCGGTTGCCACAATCTTGGCTTACCACTCTGGAAAGAGCCAAGTTCATCTATCAAACGTCAAATTATTATCTCATAAATACTGCATCACCCAATTAACTGTATTCAATGCAGTCTCATGAAAGCTTCCATGCCTGAAAGTGTTTTATGGCTTGATGGATATATCATTATACGGTTGTTGATTGGAGAAAAACACAGAGAAGGCAAATTTGTAATTTCGTTTGAGGGTAAGTGCTCATTAGCCTGGAGTGTAGTACAGTCATTTAAAACCCTGGGTTATGTTTAAACATAAACAGGCAGTGTACCGTCACTACAAGTCCATGGTTAACGAAACATAATGAGTGTACGATAAATTTTATCCCTCAATAAATTTTCTGAAGTGCGGAAGCCAGAACTGATGAGCACGCATAAATAACCTGTAGTGTTGATATTTTATGATTATCCTCAGCCTGGAATCTCCTTGAATATTAAATAAATTGAGGGATGATACATTACTAAGCAGTGGCCCTTTAACTTACGCATTTATACAAACATATGCTGATAACCACAAGGAAAGAAGAAAACACGAAATTCCCAAGCGCTTTCGTGTAATTCACATCTTCAGGGGTGAGTACAGACTAAGGAGGGGTTGGTTGGTTATACGGAGAGAAGAGAGCACTAGCTCTGAAGGTGCAAGAAGGGTACAGTACAAGGTAAAGTTAAGAAGTGGGAAATAGAGGAGGAGGTTGACAGCAGGTGGGCTATCCACCTTGCTGAGACGGGTTTTTTTGTCTTCCGTCAACAGTGCTGCCTTAGTGGCTCATGCGGTTAGGGAAGGCCGGTATCAGCCAAGCTAAGCTAAGTTATTCTATTTGATGTTTCCTTGGGGGGTTCCTCCAGGTCCTTGTGGCACTGGAGGGATGATCCCCATCTTTTTCGTTTGTAAACTATTTAGGTCTTTGTTTATTTGTGAGGTCCCTCCAGGTCCTTGTGTGACTGGAGAGTTGTGCCCATCTTTTGGTTCTTTTTTATTGTGTATATAGAGGCTCTGGTTCTTCGTTATCATTTTTCCTGCTTCTAGGCCACCATCTGTGTGATGTGTTGTTGTTTTCCTCAATTAGTTGGTTTAGTATGGGATCCTGTTCTTGATGGATGTTTCCCATATTACATTTGCTTGGGTGTGTATTCTGGTGTTGAGTGGGTCTATGCCGTGTTCTGTGTGTATGTCTTGTACTGTTTGTGTGTATGGTGGTTGGTGTTTTGCCGCTCTTCTGAGGGCTATATTTTGCACTGCTTGAAATTTAAGTTGATTTGTTCTTGCGATTGTGTTCAGAGGTATCGGAGGATATTCTAAGTGTGGTCTGATCAGTGCTTTGTATAGGTGCAATTGCGTGTTGGTGTTTAATTGGCGGGATCTTCTGAGCTTTGTAAGTTGTGATTTTGCCATAGCTATTCTGTCGTTGATGTGGGGGATTATTCCGGTTCTGGATATCTTGAGTCCTAGTATTTTTCCGTTGGCAGCATATGGTATTTGTTGGTTGTTGACAATAATAGGGTAGGGGTTTGTTTTTGCGATGTGAATTATTTTGAGTTTTTGGACATTGGTTTTTATCTTCCATTTTCGTTCATAGTTGTTTATTATCTCTATTTCTCTGCTTGTTCTGATAGCCATCATTTGTTTGGATTTTCCCGGGTACCTGACTATCTGCGTGACATCATCTGCGTATGCTATATACTCTGATTGCCGTGGTTGCGGCATGTCTGCTGTGTATACAGTGTATAATGTCGGCGATATATTACTGCCTTGGGGAACTCCACTATGAAGGTTAAAAGTTTGTCCTAGATGGTTGTCGATGATTAATTTGGCCTTTCTGTTGTCTAAGAAATTGCATAGTAGTGTTGTGATATTGGTAGGCCTGTCCTAAGTAAAACATATTACATTCCTTGCAAGGAACTTTATAAATGCAACCAATTGTGTTGTTGGGGGAGTTCTTGATTAACATTTGTTTAACAGTGCATGAGTTTTTAAATGCCACATTGACGTTCCAGGTTTTTAGTTGTAAAGGAATTTGAGAGAAATTTTTGTGAAATGGTAATACTAAGAGATTCTTATGGTCATAGGTGGACCTGATCTCACCCTCCTCTGTATATATACACCTTGTTTTGTACTTCTCCTTAGTCTGTACTCACCCCTGAAGATGTGAATTACACGAAAGCGCTTGGGAACTTCGTGTTTTCTTCTTTCCTTGTAGTTATCAGCATATATATATATATATATCAAATTTTCAACAGGTGGTTACTAGAGCGCTGGACAGTCCGTGACGTAGGCTAATATTTCCAAAGATAGCTAGTGATTCTTACAAAACCTTTCAAGATAACATCATATAATACGAACGAACTAAGCCTAACCTAACACTCCGAATATCGTTCTGAATGTTAGGATGATTGAGTTACATTTAGTTGATTAATGTACCTGGTTTTCTACATAATTATACTGTACACCATAAGAAACATGACCATCACACATTCCAACCAGTCACAGGCTGCCAGGCGGGAGTCCTCTAACAACGTCTGATATTACGTATGATAATTTTAAACCAAGGCTTCATGCATTTATGGAAAAGGTACCTCATTTACTTCACCGTCGAGTCCATATACTTAACCGATACAACAAATATTATAGTTTAAAAGTTGGATGTTTTCAAACTCTTTTAGTTTAGTTCTGCTTTACTGTAAACGTTTACAGTACACAAGTTTTATGAAAGCCTGTGTGAACAAACATTATTAATACTGAAAATTAATTGCAAGTTTTATGGCAACAGTACTGTATATCAGCTACAATATACACTAATCGCCTGTCTACTTGTTGTCATGGGACACTATCTGGCACTTTGACCCAGCGTTTACATAAGGCTCATGTTGCAGTGAACAGCAAAATGGGGGGTCCAGACACATATTTTTAACAGCAGTAAGCTGGAACCATCACAATATGAGAAACAAATATTTCAACCAAAAAAACTATAGACCCAACCTCCCTCCTCCCCCTACACTCATCCCATAACCGACACTTAACCCTCGCCCATCGGGCCATCCAACACATAGTAACGATCACCTCACGGCTCAACCTACTAATTAATATGAAATTCAGGGCCGGATTCAGGAGTGGGCAAAGTGGGCAGCTGCTCAGGGGCCCCCACAATCTGGGGGCCTCCACACATTGCAATATTTTATTTATTTGTTTATTCATTTGGATTATTTTTTTCATTCTTTAAAATTCATGGGAATTTGTACACTATCAATAAATATACAGCTAATTAAAAATTTCTCAATGTTCTAATTTCCTCAATATAACTGCATATGGCTTCAAAATTCTCCAAAGAAGTGTTCAAATTTCAAAAATTTCCCGGGGGAGCTTACAGCGCCCCCCGGAACTCCCAAATGTTTAGGGTCGCTTCACTCGCCACCCCACCCTCTTGGGTAGTTATAATGAGGGGGGCCTCCACAAAGAGGCTGCCCATGGGCCTCCACAGTACCGGTAATCCTTACATACCGAAATTAATACTGTATATCATAACTCACCGGAAACTTATGCGTTTATCGTTATACAAGAAGTAAGCGTCACCGCAAGCATCAGTGAACCTGTTAACTGGGTATATGGAAAATATTCTCTGAGAATCTTTTTATTGTAAGCTGATTATTGGTAATTAGATGTGACTGACCAACTGCACAGTACCAAGGTAAGGGTTTAATCTGATATGACGGTTACGGACATAGTTCAAAATCCCACAACAAAAAACACAGAAGAAACAATTAATATTCTGTCAGTCTGTTTAGGTAAGGTCAGAGTGGCCGGGAATTTGTGCTATGACATGTGTGCTGCATAATAAACGACCGACTTTTTTTTATAGTGACTAGACTGTTGTAGGGGTATCGAGTCCACTAGACTGTCGTCCCGAGTCCTGTAACCACACAAGTTATCTATGCTATAATGCTTCAGATACAGATGCCAAACTAAACGGTACAGTAAGCAATGCATTTTTAGACAGTGAAGTCACATTTTTCCTCTGCCACAATTAATAAACTAATTTTCAATCTATTACCAAAACAATATGATTTTTTCGTGTCCTTGCAAGCTTCTGACCGTCACTATCACAAAGAATATGCGTCGAGACTTCTGGTAAA